GAATCGACTTGACCGCAATGGATTTGGTTTGGGTTGGTTTCCTTTCATTACTCTTTCATTCTCAAAAAAATCATTGATAGGGGTTCACAAATACTAATTATCACAATATTGTAGCGAACACACAAGAAAATTTGACAAAATCAGCGACTGTAAAAACACGGGCAGCAACGCAAACAACAGCGAATGCTTATAGTGTGTGCAGATGAAACCACGTGATCCGAAGCATCGTTGTAACTGGGTAATAATGACAGCTCTGATCAGAGTGCATTAAGAAGGTTCAAAAAGTAAATTAGCATAGAGTTTTAGCCTTGTAGATATATTGATACATGTAAGCTGGGCTTACAAAAAATGTTTTTGTTGTTATAACTAACTACAGGAAATTTTTTTTTTATGAAAATTTTTTTTGCCCTTTAGATGAAGGTTTACCAAACAAACTAGTTTCTCATTAAACAGTTAGTACACATATTGTTTTATGACATTGCTTAACAACCCCATGACATGTCAACACTCTCCCTTCTCGACCTTGGGTTCCCGATTACCAGCTTTCATGTCCCTCCTTGTCTTCTAGTCCTTGCCCCTGGGCTGTTGTGCCCCTTTAATCTCGTTTTGTTTTATGGGCCTGTCTAATCTTTGGCTGAAGGGTGAACCTCAGGAGTGACTTTATTACGGAGCTAAAAGGGTATCTGGGGGCCATACTCTCAGGGTTTCTCTAGTCTCCATCAGGCCAGTGAGTCTGGTCTTTTTTTATGAGTTAGAATTTTGTTCTATGTTTTTCTCCAGCTCACTACAGGAATATTTTTGTAAAAAATAATAAAAATAATAAACACTGCGCAAAAACTTTATACACAGTCATTTTGGAGTCAGCCCCTCTGACAGTGTCACCTGGCTGGTTGGCACCCCTCCCCTCAACCCCTTCAACTCCCCAGTGACACCATTGCTAAGCAGAAATATTTTACTCAATTACAAATAACACAACATATCAATTTTAACTTTAAAAAATTTTCATTATAAGGTCATGCCAGCTAGTTTGATGAAAAACATTCAGAGGATCCCATACTGTAGAGACCAAAGTTTATTCGTGGTTACTAGGGGCGGGAGGGAGGAGGAAAGGGGAAGTCATTGTTTAGGAAGCAGTGGGTGTCTGTGGTGATGGGAAACTTGGCAATGAACACTGGTGATGGTTTCACAACATGATTGATGTAATTTGTCTCACTGCGTCGTATACATGAAAAATGTTGAATTGGCAAATGTTGTATTATATTTATTTTTAAAACAATTTTAAAAAAAGAAAATATAATGTATGATTCAATTTCTAGAGCATTCTTGAAATGACAAAATTATCGAACTGGAGAACAGGTTAGTGGTTGCCAGGGATTAGGTAGGGACAAGGCTGGGGAGGAGGCGACGTGGTGGGTGTGTTATAAAAGGGCATCGCCAAGGATCCTTATGGCGGTGGAATTTCTGGATCTTGACCCTGTCAATGTCAGTACCCTGGTTGTGATGTTGCACTAAGGTTTTACAAGATGTTACCGTTGGGGGAACGGAGTCCCTGGATGGTGCAAATGGTTAAGCACTTGACTACTAATGAAAAGGTTGGCAGTTCGAACCCACCCAGAGGTGCCTCAGAAGAAAGTCCAGGAGAGCTGCTTCTGAAAGGCCACAGCGTTAGAAACCCATGGAGCGCAGTTCTACTCTGCACACATTGGGTTGCCACGTGTTGGAATTGACTAGATGGCAACTGGTTTCTACCATTGGGGGGAACTGGATAAAGAGTACCCAGGATCTCTTTGTATTATTGCTTATGTTAAACTGACTGTGTTGCTGTGGTGGTGGTTAGGTACCCTCCAGTCGATTCTGACTCATAGTGACGGTACCGGACAGAGTAAATCTGTCCCATAGGGTTTCTAGGCTGTAATCTTTATGGGAGCAGATTGCTAGGTCTTTTCTCCCACAGAGCCCACCGGGTGGGTTCAAACCACTGACCTTTCAGCTAGCAGCTAAGCACTTAAGCAACACACCACCAGGGCTCCTAACCTGAATATCAAAACCAAAAAAACCAAACCCATTGTCCTCCAGTCAATTCTGGCTCATAGTAATCCTATAGAACAGAGTAGAACTGCCCATAAGGTTTCCAAAGCCGCAATCTTTACAGAAACAGATCACCAGGTCTTTCTCCCACTGAGCGGCTGGTGGGTTCCAACTGCCAACCTTTCAGTTAGCAGCCAAGCCCTTAACCATTGTGCGTCATGCCCAAAATGGAGTTTCACTTGTGCTGAGCCCCACATCAGCAAACTGAAATCTAAATTTCTATTTCTTATAACTGCCTAACCTTGCAGGAGCAGAAATCCAAGGCAATCAATTGACTCTCCCGGAAACGGAAACCCAAGCTAGCCAATCAGGATTTGCCTGCTCCATTCAACCTAGTTCAAAATTTCCCCTTAATACGAAATAAGGAAAGAAAGTGCCCGCCAGCCAATCAGCAATTTGCCCAGCATAGCTTCCTTGTTTCTGGGTGTCTGCTGTTACAAAAGCCTTGTGCTTTTATCACGCTTCAGAACTCTTGTCTGACTTCCACGCCGGACAGTCCTCGGTTTATGAACTGAAAAGTAAAGCTTATGAGTTTATACACACAATTAATTTTGTGAAAATTTTATTTTTAACACTGACATGAATGTACAATGATCTCAAAATAAAAAGTTTCTAATTAAACAATATTCAAAGAAAATAAATTTACAAAATAAAAAGTAAAATTTCTGTCTTGGGACATCTAGGTCCATGGGCATAACATAGTTTATAAAGGAAATATTTTACATGCCACTTTGGTGAGTAGCATCTGGGGTCTTAAAAGCTTGCGAGTGGCCATCTAAGATACATCTATTGGTCCCATCCCACCAGGAGCAAAGAGAATGAAGAAAACCAAAGACGCAAGAAAAATACTAGCCCAAAGGACTAAAACAAAAGTAAAATTTCCCTGCCACCCAGTTCGGAGGTGACCATTAAATGTATTTCTGCCTGTTACCCTTTCTTCTTCATGCTTTTTCCCATAACCACAGAACCTCGTTTTACTTAATCCTTTTTTTCCTTCAATTAAATAGCATTTTAACTTAATGCTTGTCTTTAAATCAATTAAAAGTTTAAATAGACCTATGTACTTTTTTTTATTTATGCTTATTGACATTGGTTTATTGTTAACAGTGAATGTTTTAATTTTTACAAAACCTATATTTCTGTGGAAAAGAAAGCAATGGAAAGTTAATTATTATAATTTGAATTTCGAATAACTGACATACCCTATATAGTTTAGACCATTCGACCCCCATGGACCAAGTTACTCTGCATCATCTGGAAGCAGCAAACTCAATTTACCAAGTTTTGTTTCTGCTGAATCATGAATAATCTACTTGAAATTCAAATTTACAAACTGTTATCATCGTCAATCACAAGTTTGACACTAAAGTTTAGAGTTTGGGGAAAAGAGTTAAATAGGTCTAGGTACTTTTGCTTGGTCCTAAACGAGAATAACTTCTGGGGTGCCAGTTACATTTTTTTTCTAAACCTCTATAAAATAAACATATAATTATTAAAAAAAAAACTATTTGCTTACAAAACACTGAGTTTCTGTTAAAGGTGATGGAAAAATTTGGAAACGGTTAGTGGTGATGGTCACGCAGCATGATGAATGGAATTGTACATGTAAAAACTGTTTAAGTTGTATTGGCAAATGTTTTGGTCTGTATATTTTTGCCACACTAAAAAAAAATAATGTTTCAATGGTAAATGTTTTGTTATACATGTATTTACCACAATAATAATAATAAAACTAAAGTTCTACAGTATATTATCTGAAATAATAGAATGTACCATTCTAAAGTTTTTATATGCATTACACAATCACATTGATGGATGAAGCTATTCTACATGCATTGGTAAGCCTTGAATGGAAAGAAAAACTGGGCGGCCAAAGTAGTTGGATGGCGTCAAGTCAATTTTCGATGCATAGCAACCCCATATGACAGAGTAGAACTGCCCCATAGGGTTTTCTAGGCTGTAATCTTTACGGGAGCAGATTGCCAGGTCTTTCTCCCATGGAGTCGCTGGGTGGCTTAGAACCACCAACGTTTTGGTTAGTAGCTGAGCGTTTAGCCATTGCACTACCAGGACTCCTTGGGTATCCATAGAAGAATGGGTTAATCTTGGAAGTGAGAAAGAATGAGAAGAGTTAGCCTGAAAGAGGAAGGATGAACCTGAGAAAGGCAGAAGGAATGGAAGAGCATGAACCAAAACAAGACCATCGCCCCAAGGACTGAGTTAAAATGCCTGGGCCGGACAGGGCCGGACAGGAAGATGGCGCACCAAGTAGATGGTGGTCTGGGTGGCCTCCCCTTACACCGCCTCGGTCTTCTCGGTCGTGGTGTCCACTGTGGAGCGTGTGAAGGACTTGCTCTCCCTGCCCACGGAGTCCTCGGTCAACACATTCCGGAGTATGGAGCGCAAAGATTTGCGGTATAGGGTATGGAAGCCCTTCCCAGCAACTACGTAGATGATGGGGTTGATACAGCAGTTGATGTAGGCCAAGGAAATGCACAGGGCGTCCATCCTCTTTACTTTTCTAAAGATTTCAGAGTCACTGTCATGTAAGGCCAGTAACATCCCGGTCACCTGGTAGGGCAGCCAGAAGACAAAGAAGCTGCTGACCACAGCCACCACCACCTTGAGCGTCTTCATGGAGCGCGTGGCCTTTCGGCTCCAGGAGCGCAGCAGGAGGAAGGTGTAACAGACCGAAAGGATGATCAGCGGACACAGGAAGCCCACTATCAGCCGCACGCTGGCCACCATCACCTCCTTATGTTTGTCTCTACTATAATTGAGGCCACATATGAACTTGACTGGGTAATGCTCAACGTTCACCACCCGGTACAGGAAGGAAGGGATCGTCAGTAGCAAGGCTAGGACCCAGGCCACTCCACAGGCCGTCCAGGCCAGACGAGCCCCTCGGAAGTTCTGGCACCAGATGGGATTGAACACCAGCAGAAAGCGGTCTGCGCTGATGGCAGCCAGGAGCAAGATGCTGGCGTACATGTTGAGCAGGATGAGGGAGGGTAGGATGCGGCAGGCAGCATCCCCGAAAGGCCAGTGGCTGTGCAGGATAATGGAGGTAAACAGGATGGGCAGTGCCAGGCAGGAGAGGAGGTCAGCCACCGCCAGGTTGAGAAACCAGATGGCGTTGATGGCCCGCCTGGCCTCGGACCCTGTCACCCAGACAACCAAGGCGTTGCCTGGCACTCCCACCAGGAAAACAAGAGTGAAGATGAAAAGAGCGATCGTATCCAGAGTCTCCATCTTTAGGGGTTTGCGAGGCCCATCCACGGGCTCTTCGGGATACAGGGTCGTGTCATCATAATCATAGTAGTCAGTGATGTTAGTGTTCATTGTGTCCTGGGGGGAATCAGAGAGGCAGGAAGGGTATAAGTCTGGGGACACATGACTTTGGATCCATCATACCACCTCTGTGAGCCCTAGGTGTCTCCCATGAAGTGAGGATGCTGAGGGCTCAGCCACAGCTGCACTGGTCATACCAAAAAAAAAAAAAACTAAACCCATTGCTGTCTTGTCGATTCTGACTCATGGTGACCCTGTTGGTGTCAGAGCAAAACTGCTCCCTAGGGTTTTCTTGCCTATAATCTGTATAAAATCAACTCAATGGCACACAACATCAACAACAATATTTATAGAAGCAGATCATAGGCCCTTTCTTCCATGGCACCACTGGGTAGATTCGAACCACCAATCTTCAGTTAGTAGTCGAGCGCAAACCGCTTGCACCACCCAGGAACCATCCCCATTGCCATCGAGTCAATTCCAACTCATAGCATCCCTATAGGACAGAGAAGAACTGCCCCACAGGGTTTCCAAAGCTGTAAATCTTTACGGAAGCAGACTGTCACATCTTTCTCCCGAGGAGCGGCTGTGGGTTTGAACCTCTGACCTTTAGGTTAGCAGCCGAGCCCTTAACCACTGCACCACCAGGGCTCCTTCCCAGGAACCATACCAGCTATTAAAATATTAAAATGCTTCCATACTGATTGGTAAGAGCTACTTCCCAGACAGCCCTCTGCCATCCTGACCCCTTCCCTGAAGCCCCTGGGTGCCCCATGATCCAGCAGCCAAATGGTTAATGCATAGCCCTACTGCAATGCTGGAAGCCCCCGGGTGGTGCAAACAGTTAACAAGCTTGACTGCTAACTGAAAGGTTAGAGATTTGAGTCCACCCAGAGGCACCTCAGAAGAAAGGCCTGGCAATCTAATTCTGAAAAATCAGCCATTGAGAACCCTATGGAGCGCAGTTCAACTCTGACACACATGGGTCACCATGAGTTGGAACTGGCTCCATGGCAACTGGTAAACCGCAACACTATGGCCACTATTCATTCTGATTGGTCAGTACCCATGACATACTGCTGTTAAATATGTTTAATATCACAACAAACTGAGGTGATGTTCGTACGCAGCCTCCCCACGCCACCACCACCACTATAACCCCCTTTTCCTGCCTTGCACCTGTTGAGGTAGATGGTCAGCTCTATGCTTCATCTGTAAGTGGCTACCCAGGGCGATAAGGAGGCTGGAGCAAGCTTTAAAGGCAGGTCTGTGCCCTAGAGGTGTCAGACATGGCAGAAAAGTCCCCACACAGGCCACGGACTGTTCATACTAAAGCAGAGCCAGTATTTACTGAACACTTACTATGTGCCGAGGGTCCCAGGGTGGCGCAAACGGTTGAGCACTCAGCGGCTAACCAAAAACTTGGCAGTTCGAACTTACCCAGAGGCGCCTGAGAAGAAACACCTGGCAGTCTACTTTTGAAAGGTCACAGCCATGAAAACCCGATGGAGCACAACTCTGCTCTCACACACATGGGGTCGCGTGAATCGAGATCGACACTATGGCAACAGATTTCTTTTTGGTTTGGGTAAAGTGTATATGGGAGTTCTCTGTGCTATTCTTACAACTTTTCTATGTAAGTTTAAAATTATTTCAAAATAGAAAGTGAGGACTTTTGAAATATTTCCATTGGCAAATAACCTCTACCCTGATCCCCCACCCTAGAACCTATCACCCAGCACCCTGGCTGCCCTGCCCTCCACCCTAGGACAACCCCAATTCCCCATGCTTCAGCCACTAAAGAGTTAATGCTAGGCACAGTAAGAGAAGACCCTAGACCCTGGTTAGGGGGGCCCCGTGCCTTGTTGTTGCTGTTGGGTGCCATTGAGTCGGTTTCGACTCATAGCGACCCCACGTCACAGAGTAGAATTGCCCCATAGGGTTTTCTCGGCTACTCTTTACGGGAGCACATAGCCAGGTCTTTCTCCTGTGGACCCGCTGGGTGGGTTCAAACCACCAACCTTAAAAAAAAAACAACCCAACCCATTGCCAACGAGCCAATTTCGACTCATAACAACCCCATGTGACAGAGTAGAACAGCCCCATAGGGTTTCCCAGGCTGTAATCTTCATGGGAGCAGAATGCCACGTGTTTCTCCCGCAGAGCAGCTGGTAGGTTTGAACTGCTGACCTTTCAGTTAGCACTTAAGCACTGTGCCACCAGTGGTTCAAACCAATAAGCAACATCATGATAAACAGAGAAAAAACTGAAGTTGTCAAGGATTTCATTTTACTTGGATCTACAGTCAACGCCCATGGAAGCAGCCGTCAAGAAATCAAACAACATATTGCATTGAGCAAATTTTCTGCAAAAGACCTCTTTAAAGGGTTAAAAAGCAGTTACTTTGAGGACTAAGGTGCACCTGACCCAAGCCATGATATTTGCAATCGCCTCATATGCATGCAAAAGCTGGACAATGAATAAGAAAACCGAAGAAGAATTGATGCCTTTGAATTATGGTGTTGGCAAAGAATATCGAATATACCATGGACTGCCAGAAGAACCAACAAATCTGTCTTGGAAGAAGTACAGCCAGAATGCTCCTTAGAAGCGAGGATGGTGAGACTTCGTGTCTCATACTTTGGACATGTTATCAGGAGGGACCAGTCCCTGAAGAAAGACATCATGCTTGGTAATGTAGAGGGTCATTGAAAAAGAGGAAGACCCTCAAGGAGATGGATGGACACAGTGGCTGCAACAATGGGCTCAAGCATAGCAACAATTACGAGGATGGTGCAGGACTGCGCACTGTTTTGTTCTGTTGTACACGGGGTCACTATGAGTAGGAACTGACTCAATGGCACCTAGTAACAACCAAAACATCAGGACTCCTTCCTACCAATCTTAGCCATTGTTAAATACTTTTGACTGTTCCCCCTTAGATAAGATGCCTGAAGGTAACTTTTGCCTCTGCTGGCTTTGCCCTGACTGCTGGGTGACTCAGGCCCTAAAAGAGGAGCTTCCCCACCTGGCCCTCTCATCAGCTGACGACACTCCTTTCCTGGCATGAGCTCACTCGGTCCTTTGCTCTCGCTGACTTCACAAGCGCAGAAAAAGGTGCTGATGCCAGCACCCTGTGGTTGGCAGGAGCTTCCTGATGCAAATGAGACACAAGGTTTGCGCTACAGCATTTCAACAGAAACCAGACGCAACCAAAGTGTCCAGCAAGAGGGGACTCGCTAAATGAATGATGGTCCACCCAAGGTAGCAGAATACTGTACAGCTATATGGTGGTTAAGTGGTAGAATTCTCACCTTCCATGCGAGAGACCCAGGTTTGATTCCTGGCCAACGCACCTCATGCGCAGCTACCACCCATCTGTCAGTGGAGGCTTGTGTGTTGCTATGATGCTCAACAGGTTGCGACAGAACTTCCAGACTAAGACTAGGAAGAAAGGCCTGGCCATCTGCTTCTGAAAATCAGCCAATGAAAACCCTATGGAGCACAATGGTCTGACTTGCAAGTGATCATGGGGATAGCTCAGGACAGAGCAACGTTTTGTTCTCTTGTTCATGGTGTCGCCATAAGTTTGGGGCTGACTCCATGGCAGCTAACAACATCTAAAAAAAAAAATGAGGAAGTTCTTTATGTGCTGATGTAGAAAGATATCCAAGATCTACTGTGAAGTAGAAAAAGCAAGAGACAGAACAGTGTGTAAAGCATGCTAGTTACAAAAGGAGGAAAACTCTCACTCTCTTTCTACGTGTGTGTGTGTGTATCTGTGTGTGTTTACTTATGTGTGCACAGCCTAGCTCCAGAAGGAGACACAAAAAAACTTGTAAGGATGGTTGCATCTGGGGAGGAGAACCGGGGCATTGGTAGAAAGCTTTTCTTGTATATGCTTTTGTTCTTCTTGAATGCAGAATCATGTGGATGTGTTGCCCATTCAAAAAAATGAATATTGTAAAAGAGAATTTGTGTTTCTATTCTAGGAGCCTAAGAAAGATTCTAGAGTCCTGGGTGGTGCAAACAGTTAATGCACTTGGCTGCTAACGGAAAGATTGGAGGTTCTCTTCACCCGGAGAAGCCTCAGAAGAAAGCCCTGGCCATCTACTTCCGAAAAATCAGCCACTGAAAACCCTATGGAGCACGGTTCCACTCTGACACACGTGCAGTCGCCATGAGTGGAAATCAACTGGACGGCAACTGGTTTTACTGGTTAAGAGTCTAAGAACATTTCTTCATTCAAGAAATATTAACGGGTTCAGGACTGGTTCGTGGCATACCTGGCCCCATCGTCACAGAGGTTAAGATCTACCAAACCAAACCCATTGCCATCAGTCAGTTCCTACTCACGGAGTCCCTGTGTGTTACAGAGTAGAACTGAGCTCCATAGGGCTTTCTTGGCTGGAATCTCTATGGAAACAGATCACCAGGCCTTTCTTCCACAGTGCCGCTGGGTGGGTTCGAACCATCCACCTTTTGGTTAATAGTCAAGGGCAAACCATTTGCACCACCCAGGAACCCTTAAGGTCTACAAGGAGAGATAAACTTATCAACTGTGATGAGAAATGAAAGGTTTCAACAGAGAGCCCAGCCGAGATGGGGTCAGGAGAAGTCTCCTGGAGGAAGAAAAATGCAATAATGGAAATGTTCTAAGTTGTCACCGTCCATTGAGTCTAGAAATGTGGCCCAGGTATCTGAGGGACTGAACTTTTCATTTTATGCCATTTTAATTCAATTTCAATAGCCACATGTGGCTAGTGGCTACCATAAGGGACAGCACAGGCCCCAAGGGTCACCAAGGGATTCCTAAGTGCCAGGCACTGTTCTAAATGCTTCCCCTTGGACATGATGTTGGTTCGCTTGTTGTTGTTGTTAGTTACCATCGAGTCGATTCCTGCTCATGTCAATCCCATGTGTGTCAGAGTGGAACTGCCCCATAGGGCTTTCTTGGCTGTAATCTTAACGGAAGCAGATTGCCAGGCCTTACTTCTGCAGCACCACCGGGTGAGTTGGAACTGCCAACCTTTAGGCTAGTAAAACCATTGCCGTCG